AGTGTGGATTTTTTCTTTTTGTAATTTTAATTCTTTGTAGTGTGCACGTAAAGTAATTTTTCTTTATGTAGTCTTCTACAAGTATAATATCTAAAAGGTTTATGAAATATATTAATCGTAAACCAAATAGAATATCTTAAATAATGTTAACTAGAATTCATAACAACAAAAGATTAAGTGAAAGAATAGTAGATGATATATCTGTTCATTTGAGTAATATAGTTGTTTCTGCTGATATAGAAGTAATTGATACCAATACTTATAATTTGGTTCTTGGCAATGACTGGCTATATAAAGCAAAAGCTATCATTGACTTTAATCACCCTAAAATTACTGTTAGTGATAGTAATAGAATAGCTGAAATTTCTTGTCGCAATACTACTCAAATAAATATTAGAAATGAAAATAATAACAATAATGATGATAACAATTATGATAATGATAATAACATTGAGGATGATAATAATAAGAATGATGATGATGATGAGGATGAAGATTTTATTGCAAGTTATAGTTTAGTTGTTTCAAAATATGAAAGTCCTGACCAATATTTTTATTGAATAAGTCTAACTGGAATAGAAATTGATAATGAGTCTTACTCTTGGGAAGAGTACAAACACTTTGAATATCAATTTCATCCTTTATATACCAGTCAACAGGATTAATCTAAATATACAAATTGGTTCTCTGGACCAAACAGAGAATATTGGTGTAGAAAAATACTAATATTTGTGAACAATGTTATAATGAATACAAACGTTAGGAGACTTTATAAATAATTTCTCTTAAAAAAAATTCAAAGAGCTCAGTTATTTTTGGTACAAGGTGGTTCTAAAGAGTTAGAAAATAATGAAAATAAGAAGTATATTGAAAGGATTATAACTAAATTTTCTCAAATTGTTGCAAAGGATATTGATCAGTTAGGAAAAACTGAAATAGTTAAACATAAAATTAATACTGGAAATGTTTCTTCTATCAAACAACATCCTTATAGAATATCTCTGAAATACAAAAAATTTATCAAAGAAGAGTTGAAAAGATTACTTCAACAAGGGCATATTAAAGTTTCTTATAGCCCTTGGATCTCTCCTGCATTAGTTGTTGGCAAAGCTAATAGAAAGTTTAGACTTGTAATTGATTATTGTCAATTGAATAAAGTAACTAAACCAGATACATACCTCCTACCTCGTATTGCTAATATGATTGATGCTTTGGCTCATAGTCAATACTTTTCAACTCTTGATCTTATCTTTAGATTCTGGCAACTAGGAATGAAACCTGTTAACCAAGAGAAATAAGTTTATAGTAATGCTATTTGGATTAATAAATACACCTACAACCTTTCAACGTTTAATAGATAAAGTGTTTTATGATGTATCTTGGAAGTTTGTTCTTGTTTATATAGATGATATAATCATTTATTCAAAATCATATTAAGATCATTGCTCTCATTTGGAAAAGGTTTTTGAACTTCTTACCAAAGCAGGATTAAAACAAAATCCTATAAGCTAACATAACTCTCTCCTGTTCCCTCTGACTGAGAGATCGAACATAACAAAATAACAAAAAAACATACAGAAAATTTTTTAGATACTAACAGGGCTAAAGTCTCTAAAGTTAGAAAGAGAAAACTACTCATAAGCACTATGGGTGCTAACAAAAACAAAAGAACTAAGCTCTCAGACAACAAGAAAATTTTCAACCTTTTCTCACTCCCAAAAGAAGAAAATAAAGAAAATATACTAAGTTCTTCAAACAACAAAAACATTACCACTTCTGAGCAAAAAGTCAACAACTAAGCAGACAAAGTCGAAGCAGAAATGCTCGACAAAGGCAAAAACAAGCAAATAGACTATGCAGAGGCCTCTTCAAGCAAAAACAATGAAAGCTCTATCTCTTCTCCAGAAAAAGAAACAACAAAACAACACGTGAATTACAACATAAACAAAAGTCACATGAGGGAGCTAATCAGCTTAAGTGCAGAAACCATAACTAAAACTAAGCCACTTGACTTTACAGATAGCCTTGAAACTAACAGTCTTGATCAACCCAAATCTAAATGATGGTTAGACCTGTTTATCAAACTCAGAGGTAGCAAAGCCACTTACAAACAAGAGGTCCCCAAAAACAAGATCCTCTCCAAAAATGAAAATGCCTTAGTTTTTAACATCCAAAGCCTAAACAACATATCTACAAATGATATCATTCTATCCTTAGCAAATTCCCTTGGTGAAGACCTCCTAACTACCAAACCTCATTTTAGCAGAAGTAAAAGAGCCTACCTAGAAGTAGTTTTCAAAAATGAAGCACAAAAGCAGCACTATACAACAGAAGGGATTAATATATTCAAGCAAACGATTTTTGGATATATTCCTATTAACTTAAAGAGAAGCTTTCTCTCTGTTAAGATTAGAAACACACCTTTAGGAAACAAAGATCAGACTAATAAACTCCTCTTAGAAACTTTTCAAGATTTCAGAATTATTTCTTCAGTTAAGCCTCTACTCTTTGAGGGAACCTCAGTTTGCTCAGACCAGTAGATTATCTTATTCGAGACAACTGAAGATCCAGACCTTTCTAAAAGGCTCCCAAGGACTACATATGTTAGTGACTACAAAGTTAGTACTGAATGAAGAGAAGCCCCAAAAATATGCTATTACTGTGAAAAAGAAGGCTATGTAAAGAAAGTTTGCGAAGAATTAAAAGATGCAATTGCTTTATATACACACTACAAAGAATTAAAATTACAAAAAGAAAAAAACTATACTCACGCTGAGATTCAGCTAGAACCTAGCTTAGATAACCTCTATGTTCAAGCTCAGACTGGACAAGAATCGCAACCCTCAGCAGCTAAGGAGGAAATCTCTACTCTACTAACAAAGATAGCTAATGAAAAAAGAAACTTCTCAAACCAAGATTATACCACAGGAAAAATAGAGAACAACAACTCAAATCTAGTACAAAAAACAAACACCTCATCTTCTGATTCAAAACTTTCTGAACTAGTAGGCGAAACTGTAACAGCAGATACACAGAAAAACAAAAAAAGGAAGAATAAGAAAGGAACACATGAGAATGATATAGTAATGACAGAGGCAACCACCTCTGAACAAGGCTCTTCTTCTCATTAGGCTATCTTATAATCAACAATAACAACTCAAAAACAATCTTATTCAATTATGAAAAAAATTATAATCGCAATTCTCAATGTAAAAGGCCTAAACAACAAGGCCAAAGCATACAAAATTCTAATTCTCTTAAAATCATATAATCTAGATATCATTACACTTCAAGAAACAAACCTCAATGACACAAACTCCAGAAATTTCTTAGCTCAGCAATGGAATTTTGACTCTTTTTGGTCTTCAAAAGTAGCAATTTTAGCTGGCAACAAACAAACCAAAATAATTGAAGCAAGAACCTCTTTTGATAATCGAGTAATCTAAGCAAAAATTTCTTATAAAAATAATACCTTCTTGGTCACTAACATATATGCACCTCCAAACCTAAGAGACAGAATTAATTTCTTCAATAGCTGGTCTCCATCGATCGATGAAGACTATATAAACCTTATAACAGGGGATTTTAATGTAAATTTAAACTTTAACAGAGATCAAATAAGCCAAGCACCAATACAAAATGACCTTTCAAGAGAGCTAGTCAAGAATCTAATGATAGATTTCACTGACACAGCAAAAACTTCAACAAATAACTCCTTCTTAACTTTCTATCAAAATACTAGAAATAATCACAAAATGGCTACAAGGCTTGACTATATATTCATAGACTCAAACCACAGCTTCTTAAAAAAAGTAGCACAAACACGGTTCGGCAACTCAGACCACCTTCTCGTTGAATGCACCATCAGTTTTAACTTAACCTCTGCATGTACTTCCTTATGAAGATTCAACCCAAAATCTCTTTCTAACCTAGAAACTAGAGACGAAGTCCTCAAAGAACTTCAGAGAATTGAAAACCTTGATAAATGGGACCTGTATAAATGCATGATCCAATTAATAATTAGAGCAGCCAAACAAAATCCTCCTCCAGAAAAGAAGATTCAAATTCTGCAAAGAAGACTAACAGGTATAAGCAACTGAATGGCCAGAGACCACAGACTTACAGATCTTCAACCGGCACTTGAAGAAACTAAAGCACAGCTTCAAGATGAACTACAACTCCTCTCAGAGAATTGGCAAATTAGATCTAATGCTAAATAGATCGAGGAAGAGGAAAAATCTATAAAGTACTTTTTTGCTCGATACAAAATTAAATATGCAACATCTGGTAGCTCAAAGATTAAAGATCCAAACCACTCTGGCCCACCAGACATAACCAACACCTTATCATATATCAAATGCTACTATGAGAACATCTACAAGTCAGGAAGTATTTTTTTTTTCTAACTTGAGCGATCTTGCTCATCATTTATTAAAGGAAATATCATTAGATACATATAAAATATATATCTTAAGATACAAATAGAATACAAATTATATAAGTCCTAAAACTAATCTATAATTAAATTCCTCCTTATTGCAATTCTAGACTCACTCAGCTGCCAATTGGTGCTCAGGTGCAATCTGCTACAGAAGTCATTTTTCTTCCCGCAATAATTTTTCTCGAAGAAAATATTATCCTTAGATCAACAAAGGTGACTTCGGACCCTATCAAGATCCTAGGTCCCTTCTAATCTAGTTAATACTAAGCTATAAGTAGTTAACACCTAGTCTCAAGATAGAAAAAAATAAAAATTGTTACTAATCTAAAAGCCTAAGCTTACTAACAAAGAAAAACTTATCCCAAGTCGTAAAAACTTTGTTAGGCAGTAACATAATAAAGGGACAGAATAAAAAGAACTAAAAAAATGGTAACCAAATACCCTGTAACCTGGGTCAGGCTTAAAAATTTTAAGTTGTGCAACTTATAACCTATCTCATATAATTCTCTATCCAGTGTACAATCTACCTTTAGAATTTAGGACCTATAGCACTGAGGTCATATTCCAGACTAAACAATAAACAGAGCACGTGAAATTGTTATTACACAAAGTACATGACTTTGTCAATAAACAAAATACGTGACTATGTTTATTGCATGAGCTCACACATCCACAGAGTAATTCCGAGTAAACAATGCTGATCTTTTGTAGGGGAGACCTAGATTCCCCACTTTTGTCAAAAAAAATGGAAGATCAGAGGAAAAAGCTTACGATATATTATTGTTTTCTAGAGCCCAAGAGAGTATGTAGACAAAATAATTTATTATCCCCTTCTTAAGTCTTCTTTTACCAACTTTGTTAACAAAGAATGACTTTGCGTATCTTTACTAAAATTTCTTATACAAAGGCTATCTTCTCCTGCTAGTTATCTTGTATAATATCACTTTTAGCTTGCATGTTAAATATACTGAGGAGTCTCTGAGAGTAGGCAGTTGACCTCTGTAAAAACCATTGTATTGTAAAAGAAACTTCTTCATCTTTTCATAATAAATTCTTGTTTTTTGCTTTTTCAGAATTTTGGAAAAAAGGATCATCGGAAAGAGTGATGTGTACAAGTCAGAAAGTATTGATCTCCCAGTAGCAGAAGAACTCCTACATAATACTTCAAAAATCTCACAAAATGCAAATAGCACCTTAATTAAAGAGATAACAAAGGAAGAAATCAAATCAATAATTGACAAACTTCCAAACAACAAATCTCCAGGCCCAGATAGGCTTACATATGAGTTTTACAAAATTCTAAAAGAAGCTCTAATCTCGATTCTTACTAAGCTCTTTAACCAGATCTTGCTAATAGAACTAATCCCAACTCTTGGAGTAAGAACTTGATCACACTTATTCCAAAGAAGTCTGATAACTTAGAGAACATAAACAACTGGAGACCAATATCCCTGGTTAACAGTGACACTAAAATTTTCATGAAGATATTAGCAAACTGACTAAATATTGCATGCAATGAAGTTATCAACCTAGCTCAACAGGTGTTTGTTTCTGGAAGATCTATTTCTGATGCTGCTTTAGACGTTATAACAGTACTAAGAAACCAACCAAACCAGTCCAAGCAACACTGGCTCCTCTTTTTAGATCAACAAAAAGCATTCGACAGAGTTAGCCATCAATTTATGCAACTA